CTACTTCACATGCAGACCAAGAAGGTCATAATGTGCATGGAATCACCATTCCACTGCCTAGGGTTGATTCTTCTCCAATATTGACTAAGAACCTTGAGGACAATTCTGAGTTCTCCTCTGAGAAGACTAACCCTACCACAGAAAAACGAGCAAATCATGCAGTACAGGAGGAAGGACAGGATGATGATCTGAATAAAGCTCCTGCCAATGATGTTGATGTATCTTCAGATGATGAATTCCTCAAGAATGTTGCTCCGGGCATAGCTCAGAATCTAATGACCAAGAAAGGCAAACCCAGTCTGGAAGACAACTCTCTCAAAAGTCAGAGAAAAAGAGCTCATGTTGGGTCCTCCAAACCTAGGAGAAAAAATGCCTCCAAGAAAAGGAAGGTTACTAAGAGTAGCCCTAAGTCTAAAAGTGATGTCATAACAGATGTTCCTAACATCGCCAATGTCAAACATTCATTGGGAGAGAGGCCAGTTAAACCCATGTCAGCTGCTCCTCTGGACAACATATCCTTTCACTCCATTCACAGTGTAACCAAATGGCGATATGTCTATCAAAGGAGAATAGCCCTTGAGAGAGAATTAGGGAAGGATGCCCTGGAGATCAAGGAGGTAATGGAACTCATCAACAAGGCTGGACTACTTAAAATAGTCACTAAATTTTCCAGATGCTACGAGGGACTGGTCAAGGAGTTCATTGTAAACATACCTAACTCAATCTATAGCAGAAACAACAAAGAGTTCATGAAGGTATTTGTTAGAGGATAGTGTGTGCAATTCTCTCCTGCTGTGATCAACAGGTATCTGGGGCGAGCAAATGATGGTACAACAGAATTGGATACTTTAGACAACTAGGTCTGCAAGATCATCACTGCAAATCAAGTCACAACATGGCCAGTCAAAGGGAAGTTGTCTGCAGCACTGCTCAGTATAAAGTATGCCATTCTGCATAGAATTGGAGCTACTAATTGGGTGCCTACCAATCATACATCCTCCATTGCTGTTGGACTAGGAAAGATAATTCATGCCATAGGTACCAAAGTTAATTTTGACTTTGGTTTATACATCTTTAATCAGACTGTCAAGCACTCCACAACCAGTGCTATCAGGTTACCTATTGCATTTCCCTCCCTCATTTGTGAGATCATCCTGAATCAACATCCTGGAATTCTAAACTCAAGTGATGCTGTCAGCAAGAGGGAACCTGAACTGTCACTTCACTTCAAACTGTTTTTTGAAATGTAACCCCTAACAATTGTAATGGTACCTATGATGATCTATGTTATTTGGATCTTAATTTATGGCTAAAAAGGGGGAGAGAATAATAGAGAACTGCAGGTACAACAGATATTCCAAAACAAGTGTAGGTGATGTGCAGAACAGTGAAGAACATGTGGATAGCTTGAAGAGCATATGTGCTAGCATATGTGTGAATTCCTATGGAATTAGACTGTTTGGTTGATTATGTATGTTGATAAGAATGTGGACAATGGGTAATCCTAGAAGGTATTTAGGAGTGTGTGTGTGTCTGCATGACTGCATGACAGTAGCAGAGAGTCTTGTGCAACTCTTCAGGGGGAGTAACATAGGTGTGTGTGACTTCAGAAGGGCATTCTAAATGTCTGGACATCCACATGATGGATGCTTGTATCTGTGACTGCAGGGTGTGTAGGTGAAGTGTTCAACTGATAAAGTCTGATCAGTTTAGGGGGAGAACACCAGAGTGTTCCTCAAATAGATGTGAGATATGTAGTGGTAACTACCAGATGGTTAACAGAGAGAGCTAACTGTGAGGATTCAGAGAGGCTTGAGCTAGTATCTATCCTGCATGACAGGACACATCATAAGTCTTCTGCTGTGTGTAAACTCTGATATGATAACAAGTTGTTTTAGCCAAAAAATTTCCAAAAGGGGAGTTTGTAAGTGCTCTAGATTGGCTGCATTGTGTGGCAAAACATTAGAGTGTGCATGTATGTCATACTGATTGATAGGACATACTTAATGATGTGTGTACAGGGTAAGTTAACTATAAGTTAACTTAGTTAATCTGAATGTCATACAAAATGTCATAACACTGGACGTATGACATCCAGCGGGCAAGGTTGTTTTTCTGGTATCTATAAACTAGGAAATAGAATAAGTGCTCAAGCTGGATATTAGGAGACTTTCTAGAAGCCCTAGGCAAACTAGAAGATCCCTGAATCAAGTGGCAAGTATGCAGATCTTTGAGAATAGGTTTTGATATGGATAAAACCTAATTAATGCACCAAGGCCCAAAAGGACTGACAGCTGCTATAAAGATCAGAAGATGCAATCCTGAATAGCAACACTTGACAGAAGAAGAATATATAATGCAGATTGCAGAGTCCTTGTAAGTGAAGAAGGCTAGTCTTCACGTGTGAATTATGTCTAGGAATACTTTTAATCCAAGCAATTGTCTAGTGGATGATTTGCATTGGATAGGTAGATTCTAGGTTGTGTCTCACTCGAAACTTTGAAGCAAGAGTGTGTGAGTTCCTTGATCAAAGCTGTGAAGCAAGATCAAGGTGTGTGTGAAGTGTCTCTTCATATTGTCGTCTGTAATATCATTGTTGTGTGATTGAGGGGGAGTGAGTGGGTATACTCAGGTCTAGAGTGTCTCTAGGTTGAAGTGTCATGGGGTAGAGATTAAGTGAGGAATGTAAACTGGAGGTTTAACTCTGAATTGATTCTACTAATAGTGAATTTCCTCCCTGGCTTGGTAGCCCCCAGATGTAAGTGTTGTTGACACTGAACTGGGTAAACAATTGCTGTGTTATTTACTGCGTTTATTATTACTGAGTATTAGCTGTTAAGTAGCAGATGTCACAGTGGATGTTATAACCTTGGGAATAACATCTATCGTGTGCTTGCCAGAATTTTCAGAGAAGAAAGAGAAGAAAATGCAAAGTAAATGGCTGATAGGCTTGGAAATGATTTGGGCATTTAATAGTGCCTTTTGCGAGGGGTGCCTCCACGTAAGTCCCAACGAACAAATGACGTGGCGTTATTTGCGAGGGGTCCCTCCACGTAGAGCTGGCATAACGGGCTACCCGACCCGTGACGGGCTAGCCCATGTCGGGCTCGGGCTTTGTTCGGGTCGGGCTAAAAACCCCAGATTATAAACGGGGCACAATTTGATTGACCAAGCCCAGCCCTTCACCAGCTACGGTTTTTCGGGCCGGCCCGGTTTATATTTACAATTTTGTTTTTTTAAAATTAAAAAGTGAGTGTTTTATTTAAAAAATAATATAATATTATTAGTATATTGTACACATCATACTCTAGTTTTATCATAGCGTCAAATTACAATAGTATGACATTTCACATAGAAAATGCACCAGTATGACATTTCATTTCACTTAAAAAATGATAATAATGTTGTACACATCAAAATATAACTTATAACATTTCCCTTGGTGCATTGTTTGTGTTTTTTCATTTGAACGAGGATTCAAAACAAAGTAAAATTCTCAATGATAACATTAAGTTTTACAAATTAAATTAACAATAAGGTCTAAAATTCATTAAAAAAACTAAGCGGGCTACCCGCTACCCGGTCGGGCTAGCCTGGTTAAACATCGGGCTAGCCCGGTTAAACATCGGGCTTTTAACGGTTCGGGCTTAAAAGCCCGGATAATAAATGGGCCTTATTTTTTTTGTTCAAGCCCGAATTTTTTGGCGGCCTTTCGGGCCGGCCCGGTTGGTCCGGCCCATTTTTCCGGCTCTACCTCCACGCAAAAATTCAATGGGCCATTTGCGAGGGGATGCCCCTAGCCACTGTTGGCGTGTGGCAGACAATTTGGTAGAGGAATAAATACCTTTTCAGAGGGATTTGACTAAAGTAGGACAATTGGTGAGGGGAGGCCCCTCGCAAATTGTAAACCGTGACGTGGTGAAGGGCTACCCCCTCGCAAATGTTCAACCATTCCCACCAGATTCTGCGCTGAACCCTAGTAAAAACATTTTTCAAATTTCAAAAAAATTTTCTCCCGTTGTTTGCGAGGGGTATCCCCTAGCTAACTGTTTTTTTTTTTTTCTTCCTAATTTGTGTTTTGCGAGGGGTTTAACCCCAAGAAAATGTATTTATTTTAGTGAGGGGTTTTCCCCCTAACCCACGCCCCTAGCTAATTCTATGTTTTCTTGTAGTGAAATTGTTCATCTTCTTCTTCTCCAACGTTTACTTTTTTTTTTAATCTTTTCGTCGTCATTACATGAGTGGGAACAATATTGAGATCAAGATTGATTGAGTGAAATTCTTCATAGGTTGTGGTTGAATTTTGAATAGCATGCACCAAATTTATAACTATTTGTTTCATACTAATATGAATGTTATATATGACATTTAAAATAGTCGTGGATCACACGGATCGGCGTCTAGAATGAATGAATTTAATCTGATCCAATAACCTAATTTTTGTTTATTGAATTGTACATAAATAGAAGAATTTGATGGATTATGGATTCATGAATAAAATTATTACCATACTTAAAATTTCTCTCAATCCTCAATCAAGTAGACAAATAAAAATCCAAGATTTAGGAATGATATAGATTTTATTTTTGGAAGAGCAATTACACATTACTATTCTTAAACTTTTGCATTAAATTAAGAGTATAATAAATATGCATCTTAAAATTAATCCTCACCGAAATTGCACATCCTTTTTCTCTTAAATTTAAAGATAGAATTAGACGTATAGTATCAAAAAGTGCCCGAAGTTTCTATTAAAATTTTATATGAAAGAAAAAACCAAGAACAATTGGATGATATTTCTATATTTAATGCTACATTATAAAATCAAATCAATTAAAGTTATTTATCGGAAGCTAAATTAAAGGCAACAAATATTTCTTGTTAAAGCCTTTTTTGTGGAAAATAGTAGTATATATTGGTCATGGTAATCCTGAATAATTTTCTATATGGAGTTTGTGGCTTGAACAATCTTTATCAGAGGAATACTCAAGTTGGAAATCATGTATACAAAGCATTTGAATTTTGTTGAACCTGATGAAGGCTCGTGCATATCTTCTATGAATTATTGCAAACGAGTTGGCATGAATAAAAACAAAGGACAATGGACAGTAGAGGAAGATGGGTACATAAAAAAACATGAAATCCTTTCTTTTTCTTCATTATATATTAGTTATTTATTATTGTTTCTATTTTGCGGCTATTGTTTAGTACTATCTTTTACTAATTTGGAATTTTGGCCTAAAAAGGTGTTTTCGTTGCGTATGTAAAAACAGGTTATTGGTTCGGCTTGTTGAACAATATGGATTGAGAAAGTGGTCTTATATAGCTCAGGAATTTCATGGTAAAATAGGAAAACAGTGCAGAGAGCGATGGCATAACCATCTAAAGCCTAATATTAAGGTTCATATTTATTTATTTATCATATTATATATACTTATTTATATCTTTTTTTTACAACCAAATAAAATAAATTGAGGATGAAGATTTGGACCATGTCCCATTGTATAGTCAAACACTAACCACAAATTACACATACTATTAAATTTTATGCACATTAGTAAATTCTATAAGAATTTTGTAGGTTCAAAGCATACACATTTGAAGGATTCCCCCTTTAATAGGCTATAAATAAATTCTATAGTAAATCGTCCTTGAAGTATACAATAAGGTGGCTGAAGTGGTGGTTTCTGGTGGTTATACTAGTGGTCAAAGTACTAGTAGATGGTGGTGAGCATTTGTGGTTTAAGGTGGTCAAAGTGGTGGTTATGGTAACAGTTGGTTGCGGTAAGCAGTGGTGGTTTATAAGCAGTTAGAGTGGTGGTCAGTGATGATCAGGGGTAGTTAGAACGTTGGTTTGAAGTGATTGAAATAATGGTTATATAGTGGTAGTTGGTGATAACTGACTGGTGGTAGTTAAAGTGCTCATTTATCGTGGCCGGAGAGATGGTTTTAATGGTACGCAATGTTGACCATGCTGATACTCAATGTCTGGACGTGATAATTCTGATGGTTAGTAATGTTGATAAGTGTTAGTTTCCGATAAACATCGTAGTAGCTATAGTAATATAGTTGATGGTGGTGAATATTTGGGGTTTATGGTATGGTGGTCAGTGGTGGTTTTCAGTTGGTTATAGTAATGATCATAGTAATAGGCAATGGTGGGAAGCATTGGTGATTACAGTGGTTAAACTAGTAGTTTATGGTGGTATAGTAGTAATTGGTTATGGTGAGTATTGGCGGTTTATATTAGTCAGATGGTCGGTGATAATTCATGGTAGTGAGAATCTTGGTGTTTTGTGATCGTAAGAGTGATGAGTGGTAGTCGGTGATCTGGTTGGTGTTTTGTGATCGTAAGAGTGATGAGTGGTAGTCGGTGATCTGATAGATGTTAGGAGGGTGGTTTACATTGGTCTGAATGATGTTAAAATGGTATTAAAATGGTAGTAAGTGATGGATGAAGTGGTGACCGATAACGATTGATATTGGCCCGTCATAGTAGTGATTATTTGGGAATAGTTGTTTTTTATTGGTCTTAATAGTGGTGATATTAGTAATCGGTAGTGGTCGCCAGTGATGATTTACATTGGTTGTAGTGATTGTTTAAGTGATTGTCCATGGTAGATGAAGTAGTATCAACTCCCATCCATGGTGGATGAAGTGATAATGTTTGGCCACCGTCAAAGTCTTGGTCATAATGATAGTGAATCATGGTCATATTGAATATCATAGATAAATAAAATGTTGATTGGAAATAGTCATAATTGATTGATTGGAGCTAATTAAAGTATTAATTATGGTTGTCGGAATGATGATTAGTGATAGTCAAAATAATAAATATTAACCATCATTTTGATAGTCTGTCTTAGCTTTTAAATAAAAATAAAAATTATAAAGTCTTTTTTATTTTGTAATGAGTTTCAATAAAAAAACATTTAAAAAAAAAACCGCCAAACCCCACCTTAATCAAACACATTTTTGTTTTAAAATTCACTTTCAAAGTTCAATCACAAACATGTTTTGATTTAAACTAAAAATTTAGAGTTCATTTTCTTCACATTTTTTTTTCTATTTTCAACTAATAAATATTAAAAAAAAAATTCAGTATTATTATCACCACTTTTTTTACAAGTTTTTAAAACCGATTCAAAATTATGATATGTATTTAAAAGGAAAATTTTTCACTGTGGTTAATCATATCTAAAATTTGTGGTTAATTAGATTAATTAATTCATTGATTCAAATTATGTTAAAAAATATGATTAATTAATATAATTGAATTAGTTACAATTTTAATTATAATTTGAATTAATCCCGTGTTCAACTAAATTAATCATATTTTTTTACGTGATTAATTGGTTTGTCAAAAATTTAACATGTGAAACACTATTATTTCAATAAAATGTTGGGAATTATTGCAGAAGGACTCATGGAGTGAGGAGGAGGACAAAATATTGATCAAAGCTCATAAAGAGATAGGAAACAAATGGTCCGAGATTGCTAAAAGATTACCCGGAAGAACAGAGAATTCAATAAAAAACCATTGGAATTCAACAAAGAGAAGAGAATACTCCAAAAGAAAGTATCATTCAAAGTATTCTACATGCACTCTTCTACAAGAATATATCAAGAGCTTGAACTCAGACAAAAACCCTCCAAATGATTATATAATAACATCTTCAACTAATACTGTTGTGAAAAACGAAAGCACAGTATCAACTGAGTCTCGTGAAGCTGAAGAGCTTTGTCCCATTGAGTGTTTACCAAGTTTTAATTTTGATGATTTTCCGGATTTTTGTTTTGATGATAATTTGTTTCAAGATGGGTATAGTATTGATTATCTGCTAAATGATATTGAAACTATGGAAGGAAATAACATTTGA